GTCAATTTGAAGACTAGAGTGCATCTGATTCAGGCCATAGTCTTTCTGATTACTTGCTATGCATCAGAGAGCTAGACAATGAATAAGGATGACAGAAAAAGAATTGATACTTTTGAGCTTTAGTGTTGGAGAAGAGCACTGAACATCCCATGGATGGCAAAGAGAATGAACAGATGTGTCTTGGAGAAGGTGCCGCTGGGGTGCTTTTTGGAGATAGGAGTGATGAGGCTTTGTTTCATATACATTGGGAATGTTCCTAGGAGGGCTATTTCTTGGAGAAGGACATGATTCTGGGTAGGATGGAGGGTCAGTGAAGGAGAGAAAGACCCTCAACCAGGTGGATTGACATGGTGACTGGCGCACTTGTAGAACAATGTTCAGATCTTTTGTTTATAGGATTGTGATGAATCACACTCAACTCGATGGCACCTAACAACAACTTTACCAAGGGTTTGGTCTTTCTTGGTGAAATGTGCAAAGTAAGACAAAGTCTTGCCATTCTTGCCTTAAGTGACATTCTAGTTGTTGTTGTTAGGCGTCATAGAGTTGGCTGCAACTCATAGTGACCCCATGGACAACAGAATAAAACCCTGCCCATTTGTTCTCCATGCTCACAATCTCTGCTGTGCTTGCACCCATTAATACAGTCAGTGTGTCAGCCACCTTGCTGAGGGTCTTCTGCTTTTCCTAACATGATGTCCTTCTCCAAGTGCTAGTTTCTCTTGATAACATGCCCAGAGTGTGTGAGATGAATACTCACTATCTGGCTGTCCACAGTATAGTCATGATATTTTTCTTACGGTGCAGTTCAAACGTATCAGTTCTTCTCCATTTTCCCTTTCCTTCCTTCCTTCCTTCCTTCCTTCCTTCCTTCCTTCCTTCCTTCCTTCCTTCCTTCCTTCCTATGACAAGTTCTCTAACATTTTCTGTCACATTCAGTCATATACACTCACATATACAGTTAGTATACAATGTTTCCTTTCACTAATCAAGACAATTAATCCATTTTCCCTTTTCATTATGCAGCTTTGACATGATTATGAAGTAACTGAAGAGCACACCTTAGTTGCCAAAGTTACATTGTCATAAATTGAATTGTGTCTCATCAAAATATGTGTCAGCCTGGCTGGGCCATGCTTCTCAATTGTTTGGCAGGTATGCAGTGGTGCAATATGGCAGGTAAGTAATGATCTGCCATGATCTGATAAAGCCAACCAGTTATAAGAGGATTAAGGGTGAGATGCAATACTCCTCATTTCTTCACAGCTCAGATCCAAAATAAGGGAGTTTCCCTGGTATCTCCTGCATTATCTTCTTATCTCAGAAAAAATAAAAGGAGAGGAAGCTCTGGTGGCCTAGTGGCAAGAAGCTGCACTGCAATCCCAAAGGCACTTGGTTCAAATGCAACAGATAGATGCTCCACTGGAGAAGGAGGGGCAATCTCCTCCTGTGCCAGTCGGATCTGACTCAATGCCACACAAAAAGAAAAAAAAAATCATAGTAAAATCCTGAAGTGGAAGGCTATCTTTTTTAAAATTTTATAATAATTTTGTATTTTTTCATTTTTTTATTAGTTTATTTACAAAATTCTAATACAAATTCAAACAAATTCTTTCAATTCCCTCACCCCCACCCCATCAAATTGTACAACTCAATGATTATCCCCTTTTCCGCTAGCACATCCACATCCCTCTGCTTCCAGCCTCTCCCACCCCTCCTGGATCCTTATACTCATTCTACAATTTAAAAAAAAGGAAGGTTGTCAAATGACGTGACTTTAAAAAATACCGACAAAAGATAAAATGATAAGAGAGAAACAGAGAAAGGGAGACCTACTACTACTGTTGCTATTGTTATGTGTAGTTGAGTCACTGGGGACTCATAGCGACCCTATGTACAACAGCCCGAAACTCTGCTCTGTTCTGTGCCAATTGCACTGTCTCTGACACTCCCATCCCGATTACCCCAACCACTGAATCAGTCCACCTCATAGAGGGCCTTCCCCTCCTGCCCAAGCATGATGTCCCTCTCTAAGGACCAGTCCCTCCTAACAACATGTCCAAAATATATTAGACGAAGCCTCAGAAACCTTGCCTCCAAGGAGCAGCCCATTTTAACCCTCTCCAGGATGAATATGTTTGTTTTCCTAGCAGTTCATGGTACCCTCAATACTCTTTTCCAGCACCACAGCTCAAAGGCATCAATTCTCCTTCTATCCTCCCTAGTCATTGTCCAACTTTCTGATGCATAACAAGTTATTGCAAAGACCATGTCTCTAGAGAGACTCCATTGCTGTTCAGTACTTTGGAGAGGTCCCTAACAGCAGACTTTCCCATTGCAATACATCTTTTAATTTCCTGGCTGCTGGTGCCAAGAGTGTTGACTGTGGAGTCAAGCATACTAAAGCTGTGAACTATCTCAATCTCTTCACCATCTATCCTGATGCTGCCAATTGGTCCAGTGGTGGGAATCTTTGTCTTCTTGATATTGAGCCTCAATCCATATTGAAGCACTTCAGGTCCTCCTCAGTTTCAGCAAGCAGGGTTGTGTCATCTGCATAACGCAAATTGTTGATAGATCTTCCACCAATCCTGACACCACATTTCTCCTCATAGAGCCCAGCTTCCCAGATAATCTGTTCTGCATACAGGTTGAAGAGGTATGGAGGCAAGACACATCCCTGGCGTATGCCTTTTCCAATTTTTAATCATGCAGTGTTTCTTTGCTCTGTTCTGATGACTGCCTCTTCGTCCAAGTATAGGTTTCGCATTAGCACAATCAAGTGTTCTGGGATTCCCATTCTTCTCAGAGTCAGCCACAGTTAGTAATGATCCACACAGTCAGACACCTTTGCATAATCAATGAAACACAGATAGACATTCTTCTGGTATTCCCTGCTTTCAGCCAAGATCTATCTAACATCAGCTATAATGCCCCTAGTACCACGACCCCTTTTAAACCCATCCTGGACTTCTGGCAGTTCTCTGCTGATGTTCTGTTCCAGTCATTTTTGGATAATCTTCAGTAGAATCTTGCTTGCATATGAAATCAATTATATTGTTCTAAGTTTCCACACTCTTTTGGGTCACCCTTCTTTGGGATGGGAACAAATATAGGTCTCTTCCACTCAGTTGGCCAAGTGGTTGTTCTCCAGATTTCTTGGCACAACTTGGTGAGCATGTCCACTACCAAAAAAAAAAAAAAAAGAAGAGTCAGGATCAGAGTGTGCCCCTTTGACCTAAGTCACTGTGTTAGCAATCTCTTAGATTGAGAAGACTGATGGCAAAGCTAGAAGAGATCTCCAGGAAATGCTGGGCCCACAAAAAAGTATTGAAAGAAGGCAAGGACCTTCCTCCAGAACTGACAGAGAAACCTTCGCCTGGAGCAGGAGACATGAATTCAGACTTCTGGCCTCCTGAAAAATGAGAGAATAAATTTCTGTTTGTTAAAGGCATCTGTTTGTTCCGTTTTTGGTATAACAACACTAGCTAACTAAGAAAGACATCTTTACAGTTTAAATGTTAGAGAGTTTATTTGCAGATAAGGTAAGGATACTTAACCAAATATATATCCTTATGTATAAGTATACATAAGAATAGTGTTATGGAAATTTGTCAGAAAAGTGTGCATGTGTAAAAGCAATTCATTACAATTACTGGTGTTATAAACCATCAAGTCACCTGCAACCTTAGCCTTTATTATTATATACAATGTTCTACTTGCATAAAGAACATCCTAAGATGCACTGCTCGGATCTCTTAAGGATAGATTGCTCAGGGTGTTCAGGTACTGCTGGCAGATGACCTCTAGGTGATGACTCCTTTGGCTGTAGAGCCACTTACTCCAGGTGGGCATCATCAAGGTGAGCATCTAGAGCTCCACCATTTAGGCCCACCAATGGGACAGCTTCACCTGGGATTCCCATAAGTCTAGGTGAAGCTATGTGGGCTCAAGCTGCTTAACTGCTCCCTCTGCGGAGTCCTGTTTCAACCTCCATGCTCCTAAAGGTAGAGATTCCATGGGGAATGTTTTACATTTCATTTACATATCAAATAGCTAAGTTGCCCAATTTGAGCACATGATGTTATCTTGTAGGTTAATTATTTGTTAAAAAAAAAAGAGGAAAGGTAAAGACTCACTTTTTTGGAAATAGCTTTTCAAAGAGGTATTTATCTCTGAGAGTTCATGTCCAGGCTGTCTTCACTGATCCTCAGTTTCCTCATCTGTAAAATGGGATGCTCAACAGTTTCATGTGTTTATGAAGATGAAATAAAGAAGCCTGGGGGGAATACCACCGAGCACAATGTCTGGGACTGGTGGTTCCTTCCCTTGCCTTCTTACAGAGCGGTGGGATAACACCTCACACAGGGTCTGATGAACTCCCCCTTCCCTTTCTCTTTACTGTCATGGCATTGCTGTTGCTGGACGCCATCCATTTGATTTGACAACAGATAGAAACCTCGTTCAATGCTGTAGCCATTCTCACAACCTGCTGTGCTCCAGCCCATTGTTCCGGTCCACTGTGCCAATCCATCTCATTGAGGGCCTCCTCTCCTTCCCTACCCCTCACCTTTCTAAGCATGATGGCCTCTTTCCAGCATTGGCCCGTTGGGATAATATACTCAAAGCAGGTGAGATCAAGTCTCACTATTCTTGCCTGTCATGAGCAGCCTGGCTGCAATTCTCTCCCCGCAGATCATGAAAGGCTCCCAGTGTCACTTCTTTCCTTCCTTCCTCTAGGACACCGAGACTTGCAACTCCCAGGAAAGCCCACCCCCGGGCTTGCTAAAGTCCGGGCTGGGGGTGGGGGAAGAAGGGCTGGACTGCGCCACGCCTCAGGAGGCGACCGCAGGCGATGGGGAGGCGGGCACAGTCGACCCAAGGGTGGAGAAAAGGGGAGGCGAAGGACGCGCGTCCCCGGGCTCGTGACCGCTAGCGGCTGGGCGAACCGGTACCCGGCAAGCCTGAGAGAGGTGGCAGGCTGAGAAGAACTGTGCGTCATGGACACCCTCCACCTGCTGCTGCTGGTGGCCACCTTGCCCCTGACGTCCCAGAGGGTCACTAAGAAACCCAAAGACTGGACGGAGGAAAAGGTGAGGGGCTGCTTCTGTGTGACTGGTCTCAAGTGGCTCTTGCCGGGCAGGGTGGAGGAGGCAGGGCCGGACCCCAGCGCCCGCCCTCCATGCCGACAGGAGGGCTGGGGCTGTGCGCCCTGCCTGTGGTGACACAGATGGCCCCGGGACTGCTTCGAAGGCGCCTGGCTGATCTGGGTGATGCCCCCGGGCCTCCTCTCGACTGCAGTCTGATGAGGTTACCGATCAGCACAGGAAGTGTGTGTGTGTGTGTGTGTGGCCGGCGGCCCAGAGGCGAGGTGCGGGCGCATCGTGGCGTCACTGCCCACTCCGGACGGCGATGTCCCGGTTCCTGCGTCCTCGCGCTTCAGCGGCCGCTGCTACATGCACGGATGCCCCCGTGGGGTGGGCGTTCGAGTTTCCACGCTGCCCTGGATAAACCTGAACTATTAGTTTAGATTTTTATCTCGATAAGAAGGACGTTAACTGAGGAGGCTTGCTTTTTAAAAACATCAATTTGCTAGAAGGCGATCGAGAGAAAGGAAGTTCTCAGAGAAATGGGAATGGCTAAATTTTCATATAAGGAACTTAGGATGCAAGTGATTTGCAAGTCTCCTCTGTGTGAAGAAAATAAGTCCGCAATTCCCTTCCTCCCTCTGTCTGCAACAGTTTTGAAATCATAAAATTGGGAGGTGATTATAGAAATGTTGATATTCTAGTAAAATAAGATGCGAAGAAAGGTAGCAAAGTAAGAAGTACTAACATGGACAGAGTTACTATTGCACAGATCTTTTCAATGCTTACAATTTACTGATATTTACTCTGACGTTTGCAACACACCAGTGAATGCACAGGCCTGCTGGGCAGTCACCTCTCCCTCCAGCCACTCGCATATGTACATAAAATAATCACTTAAGTTGGGTCTTACTTATCATTGGCTCCATTCAAGGGCCACAGCATGCCCTCCAACTCTTACTAAGGGCAAGCCACTGGTTAGAGGGATTCTAATGAATGGCTGTGTGCTGAGGAAATGAACTCACTAAGAATAACTTCATTGTAAGAAAATCAGTTTCCTATGGAAGCTGAAAAGTTGGTTTGAACTCGGCTGGTGACAGTTGGAAGCTGTGCTGCTGGTTTGGATTCACCTGGGGCTCCGCGGGAGAAGAGTGGGCAGCCTTCTCTGCATTTTACAGCCTCAGGAAACCCCCTGGAGGGGCAGCTGTAAGTCCTGACTCAACGACAATTGGTTTTATGTTTGTTGAGATGGAGAGCAGGAGGAATAACATCCAGGAAGAGGAACCTGAGACCTACGGGCCTCCCGGGAGTACTTCTTTGGCCAACAGATTTCCAGTCTTTTCTTTCTGCCCCGGGGGTGGGGTCCAGCTCCCATTTTTTCTCTCTCCTTAGGTTAGTAGTTTGACTGTCCAAGGAGTAAGCATCTCAGCTGCTAACAGAAAAGGTGGCAGTTTGAATATACGCAGGGACCTCACAGGAGAAAGATTTGATGATCTGCCTTTGTAGTAATAAATCAAAACCCAAACCAGACTCACTGCTGTTGAGTCAATTCTGACTTACAGAGCCTGTGGAGGATGTGAACCCTGGTGGCGCAGTCTGCAGAGTATTGTGCTGTCAAGCTTACATCAAGCTTGCCCTTCTCTGCTGCCTTGAATCCATGACTGAAGCCTCTGGAGAGAGATGGGCAGTCTTCTCCCTTGTGATTTACAGTGTCAGAAGCCCAGTGGAGGGTCAGCTAGGGATTCATTGAGACTTGCTGGCAGTGAGTTTGAGTTCTTCAGGACAGAGTAGCATTGCTCCAGATGGTTTCTAAGGCTGTCATCTTCCACAGCAGCAGATTGCCACATTTTTTTGCCCTTGGAGTAGTTGGTGGATTTGAACCACCTACCTTTTTTGATTCTCAACTGAGCACCATGGGCTCCTTTCTGTGAAGATAACTGCCAAGAAAAGCCTATGGTGCAGTCCTGCCCTGTCCCACTTTGTTGGTTGAGTTGGAATCGATTCATCTGGAACAATAGTCACCTACACATACGAGGTGTGGCCTTGGTACACTGGCCTGACCATTTAAAAAGTAAGGCGTGGTAAAGAAAGCATCAATTTCGAAATTAATTTATCTTGTTTTGAAATAAAGGTGTGCCTCTTTCAGTGACCATCTAGTATCTAAAAACAGGGGTACTGGCATTAGGGTGTTGTTTTCTATATGACCATCTCTCACTGGAGCCCTGTTAGGAAGGAAGGTTCATCCCTCAATCTATAAAGGAGTACCTTGAAACCCACAGAAGTTGTATAACTTAATCATCTTGACAGGACTGAATTGCAGCACCAGGATTTGACTTGAGCCCAGAAACTTTTCTTTCCCAAGCCACTGTTTTCTCTGAGGTCCTGGCAGATGGTGCAGGGGGTAGCGCCCAGGTAGTACAGGAGTGTGGGGCTGCTGGGAGGGGTGGAGAGCCAATGAGTTTCCTTAGCCCTCCATCAGACAGTTGGTGTTAGGTGCCATCAAGTAAACTACAAATTATGGACAGCCTTAGAATAACAAGTTGAGACCTGTCCCTAATTCTGTGCCGTCGTTAACCATCTCTGCTATACTCAAGCCCATTGCTGCAGTCGCTGTGTCAATTCAAGGTCTTCTTCTCTTTCATTTAACCTTCTACCTTTCCTAACATGATATCTTTAACCAAGAACTGGCCCCTCCTGGCATGCCCAACATGTATGAATTCAAGTTTCACCATCCTTGCAGCTAAGGAGTACCTTGGGTGCACTTTCTCCAAGACAGATCTGTCTTAAAGGATACTCTGGCCCACAAGATATACCCTAAATACAATTTCAGAAGAGATGGTTTAAGGGAGCTCTCGTGGCCTAGTGGCAAGAAGCTGCACTGTAATCCTGAAGGTGCATGGTTTGAATCCAGCAGATGTTTTGTTGGAGAAGGAGGGACAACCTCCTCTTGTGCCAATAAGATCTGACTCAACAGCACACAACAAGAAAAAAAAAGAAAAGAAAATAGATGGTTTGCTTTTGGTACTTTTAAATTTTTCCTGTTCTCTGGTCTCCTTCATGCAGCTTAAATGTTGGTATTATTTTGGGAGTTGATCCCTATTCCAAGGTAACTTATCCTGAGTCTTGCCACTTATCCTCCATCCCATTCCTTTAGTGCAGACCCACTGCTTTGATGCCTTTGAATTATGGTGTTGGGGAAGAGGACTGAACACGTTGCCAAAACAACAAAGCTGTACTGGAGGAGGTACAACCAGGTTGCTCCTGAGAGTCAAGGATGTGGAACTTCGTCCCCCATATTTTGTGCATATTGTCAGGAAGGGCTAGTCCTTTGCAAAAGATATCATGCTGGGAAGAGAGGAAGATTCTCAATGAGACGGATGGAGACTGACTTTAATCGTGGGCTTGCGCATGGTGGAGATCATGAGGATGGTGCAGGAGAGGGCAAGGTTCCAACCTGCTGTTCACAGGGTTGCTATGAGTTACCATTGAAGGGAGGCACATCACAACGGCATTGCTTTAGTGAAACCCTGTCGACCAGCTGTTAGGAGTTCATTAACACATTGCCACAAATGACAAGGTTGCCAATTTAAAAGTGTGCCGCAACGTGTTAAATCAGTTCTCCTTTAGGTGCATTCCCTCCCCATATATTTTTAAATAAGAAAGTAATTAGCTCCGATAAAATAAAAACAAGAATTCTAAGCCACTCAATTATGAAGTTAATGTGCTTATTTTAGAAAACTTGGAAAATACAGAAAAGTATACTAAAAAGAAAGCCCATAGTCTATCATTCAGGGATGATTACAATGAAGACTTTGGTGTTTCTGTTTTCAGCTCGCTGTTACACATGGGCATCTATGTGTGTTTGTGTTTATATTTATGGCCATAACCACTGACTGCCTTTGAATCTGTCCCAATATAGAGCAACCCTCCATCAAGCTTCCAAAGCTGTAAACCTTTATGGGAGATTGCCTGTATTTCTCCTGGTGAGTGGCTGCTGCCTTCAAGCTGTTTGAAGGTTTGCAGCCTGATCATTACTCACTAACAAAGTCAACTTATTGTTGTCGAGTCAAAATTGACCCATACTTGAGTCTCTGTTGGGTTTTCAGAGATTGTAAATTTCATGGGAGAAGATTGCCTATTCTTCCACAGAGAAGCTAGTGAATTAACTGCCTGTCCTTGAATTGGCAGCGAGTCCTTACCCACTAGGCCACAGAAGCCCCCTGCTTTACTATGTTCCTTATTTATGGCTCTAGAGATAGGCAGTAATTATACAAATCTCATAGACTTTTATGAGCATGGGATGAGCAAATCTATGTAAAGCTCTTGGCACTGTGCCTGGAATATGGTAAATGTTTAATAAGGTTAATTGCTTATTTAAAAATAAAGATATATGCATTTATCTCATACTAGATATGTGTATATTATTTTATGTCTTGTTATTTCTCTTTCTACAACTTTGTTTTTCCTTAAGCCAAAACATTTCATTGAAAATCATTATGATTCCATAGTTTTTTTGCCTAGTATACTTTATTTAAAAATTTTCTCTATTATAACACTTCGTCAAAGAAGACATTCAGATGGCCAACAAGCACATGAAGAAATGTTCAAAATCCTTAGCTCTAAGAGATGCAAATCAAGACAACTATGAGATAACATCTCACCCCAGTAAGACTAGCAAAATTTAACAGAACAGCAAACAACAAATGCTAGCGATGTGTGGAGAAACTGGAACCCTGATTCACTGTTGGTGGGAATGTAAAATGGTACAACCACTGTGGAGAGCAGTGTGGCGCTTTCTTAAAAAGTTGCAAATAGAGATACCATTTGACCCAGCAATTCCACTACTGGGAATATACCCTAAAGAGACCATAACTGACATCCTAGCAGACATATGCACACCCATGTTTATTGCAGCTTTGTTCACAATAGCAAGGAGTTGGAAACAACCTAAATGCCCATCAACAAACGAATGGATAGAGAAGCTT